CTTAGTCCTAGCCCTAACACTAGATCTAACCCTAACTCTAAATCTAAGACTATGTGTAGCACTAACACTAGCCCTAACCCTAAGTATAATAGTACAACTAGCCCTAACCCTAACCATAGCAGTAAACCAAAAAAAAAAAAAAAAAAAAGCAAAAGCCTAAACCTTACTTTAAACCAAACCCAAACACTACACCTAGAACTAAACCTGGCCCCAATTCGAGTCCTAAACCTAACCTTAAAACTAATCCTGACCCTGACTAATATCCTAACACTCAGCCTAGCTATAAAAAATGCCTTCAAATTAAACCAAGCCCTAACAGTTACCCTAGCCCTAATTCGAGTCTTAACTATATCCCTAAAACTAATCTGACCCTGACTCCTATCCTAACACTAACCCTATCTCTAAATATCACCCTAACTTTAAACCTAAACATAACACTAAACATACCCCTAACCCTAACCCTAAAATTAACCCTAATTACAATCCTAGTTTTTACCTTAGCCATTGCCCTAACCTTAGCCTTACCTAATCATAACACTAGACCTCACATAAACCTAACCCTAAAAATAGCCCTAATCATAATGCTAGGTCTTACATTAGCCATAGGCCTAAACCTAACACAAAACATAGTATTAATCTAAGCCCTAACCCTAGATTTAACCATAACCCTAACCCTGGCCCTAAACCTAACCCTATCCCTAGACCTAATCCTATCTCTAACCCTGGCCCTAAACCTAACCCTGTCCCTAGACCTAATCCTATCTCTAACCCTGTCCCTTACACTGAGTCCAACCCTCACACTATTGCTGCCCTAGTCCTAACCCTAATCCTATGCCTACATCAAACCCTAACTCTATTACTAGACCTAACCCTAGCCCTCATTCTAGATATTAACTTAACCCAAAATCTGACCATAACCCTGACCCTTATGCTAACCCTATCACTAAACCTATGTTTAAGCCTGACCATAACCATTATCCAAAACATAACACTAGCCCTACTGGTAACCCTATACCTAAAACTAACACTAACACTAGCTCTAGACCTAAACCTAATCCTAAATATAGCTGTAACCGTAGACCTAGCCCAAAAATAACCCTTAACTCAAACCAAAAAATAACCCTAACCCTAGACCTAACCCTAGGCCTCATTCTGGACCTGACCCTAAACCTAACCCTAATCCAAACACTGACAATTACCCTATCACAAACCCTAGCTCTAAACCTTATCCTAACCCAAAAACGAACCCTAACACTAGACAAACCCTAAATGTAGTGATAACCATAACCCTAGCTCTTACATTACCCATACACCTAACACTAGCCCTAAATCTCACACAAAACCTAGCCCTAATAATAGCCCTAAACCTAATTCTAAGCTTAGCCCTCACCCTAAACCTAGCCCTCACCCTAAATCTAACCCACACCCTAGCCATAAACCACGCTGAAACTCTAAATCTTACCCTAAACTTAACCCTAGCCCAAACCCTAAACCTCACCCTAACCCTAGCCCTAATCCTAACCATAACCATATCCCAAACCCTAGATCTAACTTTATCCATTACCCTAACCATAACCTTAAACCTAATGTTAACCCTATCACTAACCCTACCCTAGACCTGGCTGTAACCCTAACCCTTGCCCTATCCCTAACTTTAGTCAATCTCTAACTCTTACCCTTAACCTAACACTAACACTAACCCAATGCCTAATCCTAACCCTAACCCTAGCCCTAATCCAAACCTTACCCTAACCATAACCCTAGCTCGAACCCTACCCTTTACACTAACCTTAAATATAACGTAATAATAGCCCTAGACCTAAACCTAAACTTACCCTAACCCTAAACATAAACCTAACCCTAGAACTAATCATAAAGCTATCCGTAACCCTAACCCTATCCTTAGCTCAAACCCTAACCCTTATCGTAAACCTAATACTAACTCTGACTCTAAACCTAACCCTAACTCTAACCTGACATCTAACCCTATCAATTACCCTAAGCCTAATGATAACCCTAACCCTAACACTAACACTAACCCTAACACTAACCATAACCATAACCCTAGATGAAACCCTAAAAAATTTAGCCCTAGAACTAACCCTAGTTCAAAACCTAAACTGTACACCAAACCTAATCCTCAACCTAACCCTCACACTCACCCTGACCCTAATCTTAACTCTAGCCCAAATCCTAAACAAAACCCTAGCCCTAACCCTAGGTCTAACCCTATAAATTACCCTAATGATAACCATAACCCTAATGCTAACCTTAGGCCTAGCCCTAAACCTATTGCAAACCCTAACCATATCCCTTACCCTAAGCCTAACCTGAACACTAAATCTAACCCTATCAATTACCATAACCCTAACTCTACCCTTAATGCTAATTCAAGCCTAAACCTAAACCTTAACCTAACCCAAACCCAAAACCTGTCCCTGACCCTAATAATACCCCTAGCTCTAAACCTGACCCTTTTTCTAAAATTAACACTTAAATTCCACCTAGCCATAAACCTAACACTAAAACTATACCTAACTGTACCTAGACCTGGTATTAGCCCTAGCCCTAAATCTTGCCCTAAACCCAACACAAACCCTAGCCCTAATCCTAGCCTGAACCCTCACCCTAGCCCTAAACGTAATGCTAATCAAAAAACTAGCCTTAATCATAACCATAGCACTAAAATAAAACTGAGCAACAGGCGTAACTCTAAACCTTAACTTAAACCAAAAACTAGCACTCCACCTAGACCTAACCCTAGCCCTAATTCGAGTTCTAATTCTAACCTTAAAAATAACCCTCATCCTGACTCATATTCTAACACTCATTCTAACTCTAAACAGCACCCAAACTTAAACCAAATCCTAAGAGTAATCCTAGACCTAATTTGAGTCCTAACCCTAACGCTAAAACTAACCCTGACCTGACTCATATCCTAACACTAAACCTAGCTATAAATATCACCCTAACCATAAACCTAATCCTAACACTTTACCTACCCCTAAGCCTAACCCTAGAACTAACCCTAATTATAAACCTCGTTCTTATACTAGCCAATTTCTTAACCCTAGCCTTAAACCTAACACAAAATCTAGCCCTAAACCTAGCTTTAACCCTAACCCTAACCCTAACCCAGCCCTAAACCTAGCTCGAACACTATCTCTTACTCAAAGCAAAACCCTAACCCTAATGGTAACCCTAGACCGATTCCTAATCCTTAGGCTAAAGAAATCCTAAGCCTATTAATAGAACTAACCCTATATCTCATTATAGCCCTCACACTATTGCAAACCCTAACCCTAATCCTGACCCATATTTTGACCATAACACAAACCTGAGGTCTAAACCTGGCCCTTAACCCTCAATCCCCCACTGCCCTACTGGTAAATTTATAACTAAACCTAACCCTACCTTTAGCCCTAAACCTAAACCTAATCCTTAATATAGCCTTAATTCTAGCTCTAGACCTAAACCAAAACCGAGCCCTAGCCCTAATAATAACACTTAACCTAACCCAATCAATAACCATATCCTAGACCTAAACCTTGTCCTAATTCTGTCTTTAACCCTAACTTTAACTCTAAACTGAACACTGACCTTTCCTTTAACACTAAACGTACCTCTAAACCTGACCTTAATCAATAACCATACCCTAGACCTAAGCCTAGTCCTAATTCTGGCTTTAACCCTAACTTTATCTCTAACCTGAACACTGACCCTCCCTTTAACACTAAACGTACCTCTAAACCTGACCCTAATCAAAACCTAATCTTAATCTAGACCCAGCCTTAACTTAACACTAAAACAAGTCCTAATCATAACCCTAGTTCTTAAATTACCCATAGTCCTAACCCGAGCCTTAAGTTAACACTAAACATAGAGCTAAGCCGAGGCCTAAACCTAGCCCTAAGCGTAACAGTAACCCTAACCCTAGCCCTAACCTATCCCTAGCCCTCGCCCTAAACATAAACCTAGACCTATCCCTAACTCTAACCCTAACCCTTGACCTAATCCTAAACGTACCCATAGCCCTAAACCTAGCTCAAAACCTACCAATTACACTAACCTGAAAACTAATTGAAAGGTTAATAAAATAGGTACTTGTCACTCCATTTTTCTGTATGCTTAACAAAACACTGTTGAAATCTTAAGAACTGTTTGCTAATCTTGTTCCCAGAATGGGCTGTCCCCAACTGTGAACTGTTTGCTAATCTTGTTCCCAGAATGTGCTGTCTCCAACTGCCAAACTGCAGAATGTAACTTCCCTCCCTGCCCTCTCCAAGGAAAGTATATAAGCTCTGCTTAAGCTGTTCTCAGGGCTCTTTGCTCTATTCAAGTGAGCTCTGAGCCCCAGCATGCTGGACCCCCAATAAACCCTTTGCTGTTGCATGAGACAGTCTCTTGGTGGTCTCTTCCTCCGATGCTCGCCCGACCTTTACATCTGGTGGCCCTAGCGAGATCCGGCAGCGGCAGATGAAAGACCCCCAACAGGCTCCTCTCGGGGTAAGTAAGGCACCTCTTTCTGGTTTCTGCTTTCTGGTTTCTGGTTCCAGGTTTGTTTCAGGTTTCTGGTTCCAGGTTTCAGGTTTCTGGTTACAGGTTCCAGGTTTCAGGTTTCCGGTTTCTGGTTTCAGGTTTCTGGCTTCAGGTTCCAGGTTTCTGGTTTCAGGTTCCAGGTTTCTGGTTTCAGGTTTCAGGTTAGGGCTAGCAAAATGGCTGTCGGTGAAGAGCATGAGCTCTCTCCAATGGTGGCTGACAGACGTGTCACAGAGCCACAGGCCACGTCCCTGGGGGATGCTCCAGAGGACTCAGGAAATCGAGGAACAATAGTCTCCTCGACTCAGTGATATTTTGTTTCTGATTCGGTATTGCCAGCCCATCGGGTTTTGCCAGCTACTCAGTCCTGGTCTCAGTGTTGGACGTCCATTGCCTGTCTTTATTGTCTTGTCTTATCTGTGTCGTGTGACGTTGCTTTCACTGTTTGTGTATCTTTCATTATGGGACAGAGCACTTCAACCCCTCTGTCCCTGACCCTTGATCACTGGACTGAAGTCCGCTTAAGGGCTCAGAATCTTTCTTTTTCAGTAAAATGTCAGACCTGGCAGACTCTCTGTGCCTCAGAATGGCCCACCTTTGGAGTCGGATGGCCCCCAGGAGGATCTTTCTACTCCCCACTAATTCAAAAAGTCAGAGATATTGTCTTTCAGCCAGGGCCACATAGCCATCCAGATCAACAGCCATATATCTTAACTTGGCAAGACCTCTGCAAATCTCCTCCTCCATGGGTGAAGCCCTTCCTTGTCCCTGCCCCCGCTCCTATTCCTTCCCGCACAATTCTATCTCTCAAACCCTCTGCTCCTCCTCCTCCTCAACCCTCTGTTCTCCCTGAGTCTCAAGATTTGACTCTACTGGACTCTCCTCCCCCTCCTTATCTCCTGCCCTCGGCCCCCAACCCCCAACACCCTCTAAGTGATTCCCCTGCTGCTGACTCAGCCTCTCCACCATTGGAGGAGGCTGAGCTGGCCCAGCGCCCTCCAGATGACTTCCCCGCAGCACACAGAGCCCCTCCTCCCCTGGAGGAAGCTAACCCGGCTAAAGGAACTCGCCGTGACGAATGATTAAAAACCCTAAAGCCCCCGTGATACTCCCCCTCTGTCCTTATGGGCCAATGATAGATGATGGCCATGGAGGAGAAATGCAAACCTACCAGTATTGGCCTTTCTCCTCTTCAGACCTATATAACTGGAAAAATAACAATCCCCCTTTTTCCGAGGACCCCACCCAGCTCACAGGTCTGATTGAGTCATTGATGTTTTCACACCAGCCTACTTGGGATGACTGCCAACAACTCCTAGGCACTCTCTTCATGACAGAGGAAAGAGAGAGAATCCTCCTGGAAGCTAGGAAAAATATCCTCGGACCAGATGGGAGACCGACACAACTTCCCAACATAATCGAAGCCGACATCCCCTTGAACCGACCCAACTGGGACCCCAACAGCTTTGAAGGTAAGGAGCATCTGTCCACTTATCGCCAGGCTCTAATAGTGGGTCTCCGAGCAGCCGCTAGGCAACCAACTAATTTGGCCAAGGTAAGAGAGATTATTCAAGGGCCTGATGAATCTCCCTCTATGTTTCTAGAGAGAATTATGGAGACATATAGGAGATATACTGCTTTCGATCCTCAGGCAGAGGATCAAAAGGCATCTGTCATGATGGCCTTTATTGGGCAAGCTGCCCTGGATATTAAAAGAAAGTTACAATGCTTAGATGGATTACAAGATATGACTTTGAGAGATTTGGTCAGAGAAGCTGAGAAGTTATACTATAAGAGAGAAACTGAGGAAAAGAAAGAACAAATGAGGGAGAAAGAAAAGGAGCAAAGGGAGGATGAGAGAAGCAAAAGACAGACTAAGGCATTGACTAAGGTACTGGTCACAACAACAAATAGGCCAGAAATTAAGAAACAGGGAGACAGGAAGCGATACCTGGGCCCACACCAAAAGCCACCTCTGGCCTCAGATCAATGTGCCTACTGTAAAGAAAAAGGACACTGGGCCAAAGGGTGCCCTAGAAAGAGAGAGCCATGCCAGCCAGCCATTCTAACTCTGGAGGATGACTAGGAAAGTTGGGGCTCGGATCCCCTCCCCGAGCTCAGGGTAACTTTTGAAGTGGAGGGGACCCCAGTAAACTTTGAGGTGGATACAGGGGCAATATACTCAGCCCTTAAGGCCCCATTGGGCCCTCTATCAAATAAAAGGTCTCTAATTCAAGGGGCTAATGGCAGTAAATATTGGGCTTGGACAACTAAGAGGACCATGGACCTGGGGAAAGGAAAAGTCCATCACTCTTTCCTAGTGATCCCAGAATGCCCGGCCCCATTGATGGGCAGAGATCTGCTCACCAAGCTCTGGGCCAAAATAACTTTTAACCCTGAAGGCCCCCAAATGGAATTTCTAAATCCTTCAGTAAAAACTCCTATAGTCACGGCTTTAACTATGTCTGTCGAAGATGAATATCAACTCTTTACACCCCCCAAGGCTGATCAAACCAGCAAGCTACCCCAGAAATGGATAACAGATTACCCAGATGCCTGGGCAGAAACTGCTGTGTTAGGCCTAGCCGTGAAACAATCTCCAATAACAGTGGAGTTAAAAACCTCAGCCTCCCCAATTAATGTCAAACAATATCCTCTGAGAAAAGAAGCTAAAGATGGGATAAGGCCCCATATTCAGAATTATCTGGCCTTAGGGGTCCTAAGGCCCTGTCAATCAGCCTGGAACACTCCCCTGCTACCAGTAAAAAAGCCAGGAACTGGGGACTATCGCCCCATACAAGACTTAAGAGAGATCAACAACAGGGTGGAGGACATTCACTCCACAGTACCTAATCCATACAATCTGCTCAGTACTCTGAACCCTGAGCGAAAATGGTATACTGTTCTGGACTCAAAAGATGCTTTCTTTTGCTTGCCTCTGCATAAAGATAGTCAGTTGCTGTTTGCTTTTGAGTGGGTAGACCCAGAAACTGGAATGTCTGGTCAACTAACTTGGACTAGACTCCCACAGGGGTTCCAAAACTCCCCCACTCTCTTTGATGAAGCCCTCCACAAAGATCTCAACAACTTCAGAACTACACAACCCAAAGTCACCCTGCTTCAATATGTGGATGACCTGCTACTGGCAGCTAACACCAAGGAAAACTGTGAGTCTGGGACCCAAGCACTATTATCCGAGCTTGCTCAACTCGGGTATAGAGCTTCTGCCAAAAAGGCCCAAATTTGCCAGCAAGAAGTAATCTTCCTGGGCTATTCCCTCAGGGGCAGTAAACGATGGCTCACTGAGCCCAGAAAACAAACTGTTGTGCAAATACCACCCCCATCTAACAGGAGGCAACTCAGAGAGTTTCTTGGGACTGCTGGCTTTTGCAGGTTATGGATACCTGGGTTTGCGTCCTTAGCTGCTCCTTTGTACCCGCTGTTAAAGGGAGATACCCAATTCCAATGGACCCCTGAGCACCAGCAAGCTTTTGATAACATCAAGAGGGCGCTACTATCTGCTCTGGCCTTAGCACTCTCAGATGTAGAAAAACCCTTTACTCTCTACATTGTTGAAAAGAAAGGAATAGCACGAGGAGTGCTCACTCAGACTCTAGGACCCTGGAAAAGGCCTATAGCCTACTTGTCTAAAAAGCTGGACCCAGTGGCTGGTGGATAGCCCCATTGCCTAAAAGCTATAGCAGTGGCTGCCCTACTAATCAAGGATGCTGATAAGTTAATGCTGGGGCAGAAGCTAACAATTATAGCCCCCCATGCCCTAGAGAGCATCATCCGCCAGCCACCAGACAGATGGCTATCAAACTCTAGGATAACACACTATCAGAGCCTGTTGCTTGACAAGGACAGAATAACGCTGGGACCCCCCGCCCCGCTTAACCTGGCTACACTACTCCCTGAACAATCATCAGGACCCGTCACTCATGACTGTCAACATATACTGGCAGAAGAAACCAGTATACAACGGGATTTAAAGGATCAGCCACTGCCCCACCCTGAGGTCATATGGTTTACTGATGGCAGTAGCTTCCTCCAGGACAGTAAGCAGCGAGCTGGGGCAGCAATAGTTAGTGGAACTAAAGTCATCTGGTCCTCTAGCCTCCCGGAGGGAACATCAGCTCAAAAGGCAGAGATGATCACCCTCACGAAGGCATTAAAGCTAGCGGCAGGCAAAAAGGCCACTATATACACAGATAGCCGCTATGCCTTCACTACCGCTCATATACATGGGGCTATCTACCAGCAAAGGGGACTATTAACCTCGGCGGGAAAGGAAATAAAAAACAGAGATGAGATCCTCCACCTCCTCTCAGCAGTGCAAAGCCCTAGAGAACTAGCTATAGTGCACTGTCCATGACACCAGAAAGGAAACGATCCCATAGCAGTCGGGAACAGGACAGATGAAGAGGCTAAATTGGCAGCCCTAAACAGAGTAACCATGCTAACACTTTCCACACTGGGGGAACATAAGTCAGGAGATTTAACTACATCGGAGCACCCCGACAACTTAACATCTAAGGACACTGACACTGAACTCCTTGATTTCACTGAGCCCAGCCTGCAATTTCAGAAAGCCCTACACTATGTTAAAAATGTACATCAACTCACTCACCTTGGTTCAAAGAAACTGCAGGCATTCCTGAAGGATCAAGAACAGAGTTTTCCACTAACTGACTCACAGCGAAAGGAAATAGCTGAACTGGTAACAAAAGCCTGTCGGGTCTGTCAATTGCTTAATGCTTACCCTTCCAAGCTTCCTGCAGGAAAGCACCTACGAGGAACCAGACCAGGACAATTCTGGGAAATGGACTTTACTGAAATTAAGCCAACAAGGTATGGACTTAAATATCTCCTAATCTTTGTAGATAGATTTTCAGGATGGATTGAAGCCTTCCCCACAAAAAAAGAAAGGGTGCAAATGGTGGTCAAAAAGATCCTGGAAGATATTTTTCCAAGATATGGCCTGCCTAAGGTAATAGGGTCTGATAATGGACTGGCATTCGTGGCAGGTAAGTCAGGAGTTAACCAGGACCCTGGGGATTAATTGGAAGTTACATTGTGCTTATAGACCACAGAGCTCAGGACAAGTAGAAAGAATGAATAGAACCATTAAAGAGACCTTAACGAAATTAAGCTTAGAGACTGACATAAAAGATTGGACTATGCTCCTGCCTTATGCACTGTTTCATGCAAGAAATACTCCCTCTGTTTCTTTGTGTAACCTCACCCCCTATGAAATTCTCTATGGTGCCCCTCCTCCAGTAAGGGACCTAACCCCAACTCTAAGACGTAACAATTCCTTTCACACCCCCTTGCTTGACAGACTTAAAGTTCTTGAAAGAACCCAGCGATACCTGTGGAAACAGCTGGCCACTGCCTACCAACCTGGGGACGAAGGGACTCCACACCGATATCAAGTGGGAGACTTCATCTACATAAGACGACATCAGGTGTCATCCCTGGAACCCCACTGGAAAGGACCATACCAGGTGCTAATTATAACACCTACAGCGGTAAAAGTAGACGGAATCACTTCCTGGATCCATGCCTCTCATCTCAAGCCTGTGCCCTGTCCAGACTCTGGCTGGAAACTGGAAAAGACTGGTAACCCTCTCAAATTGCATATTTGCCATGTGGATAGGGCTATGGACTCTCCCCTTGACCACCAGTAGTCCTAACCCTCATCAGCCCATTCAGCAGCGATGGCTAATCACAAATCCTACTGGACAGGAAGTATGGTCAATCTCACATACAGCCCCCTTAGGGACCTGGTGGCCATCTCTCTACCCAGACATTTGTCAGTTGGATATGGGTCTTTCCTATTGGGATATCCCTGATGAAGATGATCCCACTAAAATTTCATTAAATCCCTTTTGTACCATAGATAATGGAAACAAACATTATGGATGTAGAGACACGCAAGCCAGATGCAGGTTGGCTAGCCTAGATTACTATGTTTGCCCGGAGGACTATCGAAGCCACAAAGAGTCACGGCTGTGTGGGGGAGAAACCAACTTCTTCTGTAAGTCATGGGGATGTGAGTATACAGGGGCTGCCTGGTGGAACCCAAACTCCCCTGATAGTCTGATTTGGGTAGGAAGAAATAATACTAAGTTAAGTCCCAAACAATGTCTCCCATTTAAATGGCACCCCCAAGTGGGGACTTCTGGATTAGCTGACCCTACTCCATGTAACACAAGTAGCCTATGTAACCCCCTAAATATAACCTTCACCTCCAAAGGAAGAAACCGAAATGTCTGGACATGGCTTTCAGGAAAAACCTATGGAATGCGATTTTACACCACAGGATATGATTTTGGCCTTTGGTTCACTATCCGGTTTGAAAGAAAAGAAATTCCCTTAGCCATAGGGCCCAATCCCCTTAAGTCAGAAATTAGGCCTCATGGACCTCCCGAACCTAAATCTACTAGGGTCCCTTCCCATACTTCTCAAGTTTCACCTTCGTTTACTTCCCCAATCCAGAGTGAAGTCAACCCCTCCCCCTGGGGGCTAATTGAAGGAACCTTTGCGGTACTGAATTTCATGCAACCAGACCTCACTCAGTCTTGTTGGCTCTGTCTCTCCACTGCTCCTCCTTACTATGAAGGGATAGCAATTGACGGGACTTATGCAGTAAAAGCGCAGAGTTCCTCCTGTAATTGGGGTGAAAATCCTAAGTTAACCCTCCCAGAAATAACCGGGGCAGGCTTATATATAGGGTCCCCACCTAAAAGTAAACAACACTTATGTACCCAGATAAAAAAAATTAGCACCACACAGGGTTTCCTTACCCCTGAAAATGGAATCTGGTGGGCATGTGACACAGGGTTAACTCCTTGCATTTCAGCCCAGGTATTTAACAGCTCTGTAAATTATTGTGTAATGATGCAGATGTTTCCCAGAGTGCTCTATCATGATGCAGGTTCGTTTGACGATCAAATAGGGGGGCATACAACCCGGTTCTGCCGGGAACCTGTATTCCTCACTTTAGTCATCCTATTAGGAATGGGAGTTGCTGCAGGGGTGGGCACAGGAACCACTGCCCTGGTCCGTGAGACACAACAAATGACCCAAATAGAAACAGCAATGGACCAAAACTTAAAGATATTAGAAACCTCCATCACAGCTTTGCAGGAATCTTTAACCTCTCTCTCTGAAGTTGTTTTACAGAACAGGCGAGGGTTAGACCTCCTCTTCATGAGAGAAGAGGGCCTTTGTGCTGCATTGAGGGAAGAATGTTGTTTTTATGCCAACCATACTGGAGTGGTTAATGAATCTATGAGTAAATTAAGAAGATGCCTTGAAGAGCATCAGCAAGAGAGAGAAGCCCCAAAAGGGTGGTATGAGTCTTGGTTCACACAGTCCCCCTGGTTAACCACGCTTTTATCAGCCCTGGCCGGTCCATTAATAATCCTCATATTATTGCTAACTGTAGGACCTTGCTTGCTCAACCGTGTAGTTTCCTTTCTCCAAGCTCAAATTGGACAATTAAACTTATGGTAATCAGACAACAATATACCCCACTAGTAGACATAGAATGTGACACCCCCCAATGATCACTTTTATGAATAAAAGTAGCCAGAAGAAGAAGTGGAGAATGAAAGTTTAATAAAATAGGTACTTGTCACTCCGTTTTTCTGTATGCTTAACAAAACACTGTTGAAATCTTAAGAACTGTTTGCTAATCTTGTTCCCAGAATGGGCTGTCCCCAACTGTGAACTGTTTGCTAATCTTGTTCCCAGAATGTGCTGTCCCCAACTGCCAAACTGCAGAATGTAACTTCCCTCCCTGCCCTCTCCAAGGAAAGTATATAAGCTCTGCTTAAGCTGTTCTCAGGGCTCTTTGCTCTATTCAAGTGAGCTCTGAGCCCCAGCATGCTGGACCACCAATAAACCCTTTGCTGTTGCATGAGACAGTCTCTTGATGGTCTCTTCCTCTGACGCTCGCCTGACCTTTACACTAATATTATTGAAAATCCTAGCCCAACCCTACTCTAAACCTAACCCTAAATGGAAAACTGACCCTAGACATAATCCTAAATGTAACACTCAGCATAGCCCTAACCCTAGCTCAAATCCTAAACCTAACCATAAACCTAAACATAACCATAGCCCTAATCCTAACCCTAAACCAAAATCTAACCCTAACCCTAACCCTATATCTAACCCTATCCATTACCCTAACCCTAAACCCCTTAATGATAACACTAGCCCTAATCCTAAAACTAACACTAACCCTACCATAATCCTATCATAGACATAACCCTACATCTAACCCTTGCCCTTGCCCTAAAGTAGCTCAAAACTTAATCCTTACACTAAATATAACCATAAACCTAACCCTAGTTACAAACTGAAACCTAACCATAACTCAAGATCTATTTGTAACCATAACTCTAGTTCTAACATAAGCTATAATCCTACCCATGCCCCTAATGATAACCCAAAACTTAATGTTAACCCTAAGCCTAAACCTAACCTTATGGATAATCCTAACCCTATCAATTACCCTAAACCTAACCAGAACCCTAAACCAAACCTTATCATTACCCTAAAACTAACCCTAATGCTAATTCGATCCTTAAACCTAAATCCTAACCTAAACCAAACCCTAAACTTGACCCTAACCCTAAAAATTCCCCTAGCTCAAAACCTGAACCTTACCCTAAACCTAACCCTTACACTAGATGTAGCCATAAACCTGACCCTAACACTATCTTTAACCATAACGCTAGACCTGATATTAGCTCTAGTCATAATCCTAGCCCTAAACTTAAAACAAACACTAGCCCTCATCCTAGCCCTAAACCTAGCCTTAATCATAACCCTAAGCCTAACCCTAGCCCTAACCCTACATTAACCCCCACCCTACCTCTAAACCTAGATATAACAGCATCTCTTATCCTAAACATAACCATGACCATAAACCTATTGCTAGGCCTAAGCTGAACACTAACCCTAGCCATAATCCTAGACCTAATTTAATCCTATCCCAAACCTGAATCCTAATCCTATCCCTTAGAAAAACTTTATCTCTCACACTAGCCCGATCATAGTTCTAACCCTATCCCTTACAATGACTCTAACCATAGCCCTCACACTTGCCCTATCATTAGTAATAGCCTAACCCTAGATCTAAACCTAACTCTAAATGTATCCCTAACCATAAGCCTAAGCCTAACAATAACATTAGCCCTAACCCTAATACTTATCATAAAACTAGCCCTAACCCTAACCCTAGAAATAAAAAAATAAATAAACCGAGCAATAGACCTAACCCTAAATCTTAACATAAACCAAACGCTAAACTATACCTAGAACTAATCCTAGCCCTAATTTGATTCCTAACCCTAACCTTAAAACTAATCCTGACCCTGATTCTTATCCTAACACTCACCTTAGGTCTAAACAACACTCTAACCTTAAACCAAAACCTAACTGTAAACCTAACTCTAATTAGAGTCCTAACCCTAACCGTAAAACTAACCCTGTCCCTGAATCCTATCCTAACAATAACCCTAGCTCTAAACTCATCCTAACCTTAAAATTAACCCTAACACTAGAACTACCCTTAACCCTAACCATAAAGCTAACCCTAATTGTAACTCTGGTTCTTATATTACCCATTGCCCTAGCCCTAGCCCTAATGCTAAAAAAAAGAAAAAAAAAACAAAAAACAAAAAAACAAAAAACAAACAAACAAACAAAAAAAACTAGCCCTAAACATACCTTTAACCTTAATCCTAACCATACCCCTACCCCTAACACTTGCTCTAACTCTATCCCTAAACCTAAGCAAAACCCTAACTCTAATGGTAACCCTAGACCTATTCCTAATCCTTAGGTCATTCAAAACCCTATCCCTATACAAAGTCCTTACCCTATCCATCATTCTAGCTCTAACCCTAACCCAAACACTAACCCTAACCCTGACCCTTATTCTGACCATAACACTAACCCTAAGTCTAAAACTGACCCTAAAACTAGACCAAAATCTAACACTATCCCTACCAGTAATCTTGTACCTAAACATGACCCTACAACTAGCCTTAGACCTAAAATTAATCCTAAATCTAGCCTTAACTCTAAACCAAGACCTAAACAAAAACCTACCCCTATCCCCTAACAATAATAACTCTTAACCTAACGCAAAGACTAAACATACCCCTAGACAAAAACCTAGTCCTAATTCTGGCTTTAACCTTAACTCTAACTCTAACCAGAACACTGACCCTGTATTTAACACTAAGCTATCTCTAAACCTGACTCTAACCAAAAAACTAAATCCAACACTAGACCTATACATAACACTAACACTACAACTAGCGCTAATCATAATACTAGTTCTTGCATTACCCATAGCCCTAATCCTACACCTTAAACTAACACAAAACCTAGAGCGAATCCTAGGCCTAAACCTAGCCCTAAGCATAACACTAACCGTAACCCTAGCCCTAACCCTTACACTAACCCTAGCCTTAGTCCTACACCTTACTCAAAGCCTAACTCTTACCCTAAATATAAACTTAGACCTATCCCTAAATTTAACCCTAAACCTAGCCCTAAACCTAATCTTAACCCTATCACTAAACCCAGCTCTAAACCTACCAATTACCCTAACCCTAACCCTAAACCTATTGATAACCCTAGCCATAACTCTAACCCTAACTGT